CAAAGCTGCATCTAACCAAAGGTCCAAACCATGCTTGTACTACTTGAAATCAACGACCTGCATTACATTGTAACACAACTGCAGATCTTGAACTAGTTGATTACTGCGCCTACCGACGTCACTCTGCTGTTGCGGTCCCAGACGCCACACCAAAGAACCACTCCTGAGTGTCTGTTGCAGCCGATTCTTTTCAGGCTTTTACACTCCTGGTTGGATGACGTTTGATGACGGATAGCATTTGGGGCAACGGGGTGGAGGATGGTGTGCATGGGGAGGAGGATAGGCAGAGAGGCAGAATGAGGAAGAAGAAGGCAACAAGGCTCAGAAGACGTGTACCTGAAAATGCCGGCCGATGATACACACAATCATGAAAAATTGAGAAGAAGGTAATGCGTGATGCAAACGATGAACAGACAAGTAAAGATGAGGTTGCGGAGCCCCCTGGTTGGGGGTGATGAGCATGACGAGGATGATAAGTGCAACGACATGAATAAGACGACGTTGCTACGACTGTGCTGAGCAAAATGCTGATGCCACTGGTGATAAAGATGGGATTTGGATGCCACAATCGTGTTAGCCAATGATGGGCGTAGCCATCGTATGAAAGTCATACAAGGATCATCATGGCCATCCTGAGCACCATGCTCATCAGTGATACAGAACATTGTCAAAAAAGCCGCTCCGGGTTAGATGCGTCATACTATGGGGACTGTGCAACACCATGGGGACCCAAAACAGGCCGCAATTTCGACAACTTACCATATTTCTTAAATGGATTTGAATGGTTAGGACTCTTGGCATTGCTGCAACGCAAGGCTTCTCTCCACAAACAACAATTATGCAGAGCTACGACTTGCTTTTTGAAGATAAGAATGGTGAAGCTCATGACGGTGATTGCAATTGCAATATGGATGAGGCCAGAAGGTGAGCATGGAGAAGATTGGAGAAGGGAAAGCGGCTCAGGATCTGGGTCCATGTTGCGTATCAAGCTAACACCCAGAAAATGGCCACTCTGGCGCTTGTGCGACAAAACCGGATGACTGCTCACGGAAACATGATGCAAAGGGTTCTGCACGCTCTGAGAAACGGGTCATGGTGAGCATGCTGCAAATGCAGACAGCTACATTCCTGGCAATTACCAGGGATACTGTCGGTCAGATACATGCTAGAGGAATCTCAGAGATGCACAAATGTGATGAGCTACCGTAAGTTGTCGATGGCAAATGATGCAGTGAAGATGCTGATGATGACAAGAAATCAGGAGGATCATGATGGTGTGTTAACAAAGGATTTCGCGCCAACCTCCGCTCTGCCCACACGCTATGAGAGCCTTGGTTCTTCTTTCGTCCGCCCTTTCCACATTAATACAATATAAAGAGACCAAATCTATGAAGCTTGTGATCCAGCCTGTCCCTGCCTCCGACCTGTGCTGGAACCTCAGGTAAAGTAAACTTCCCTTAGCTCAGCTTCACTTGCAATTCAATTCAGGTTTGTTCGTCAGTTTCATTACATAATCAGTGACAACTTGCCGGATATCTTAGACATCAAGACTTCTTGAAGCGCACCGTGTCCAATTGTAACTGGTGAACCCGCTGCAACGTCTGCCGATGTTGGATGCAAGCACGGCTCAAAATACTCGAACATGGGCCTTGCCCATGGTGCAGTTGTAGCTGTCGGCATATACGCTGCATATGAGAGATCTGCACCGATGTCGATACCTGCCAAGTCTCTGCAGCCCTTCACTATGTCCTGCTATGAGATAGGCTTGAAGCCAAAGAGGTTGAGCGGCATATCTTTGGGATGGAGGTGGGGTTATATTTCAAGAGCCGGGAAGGATTCGTTCAGAACATGGCGGAGCGTGATCCCCATGAAGATTTTCACTGATCTTGCTATGCCAAAGCCGGTTCTGAAGAAGCTTGTCTTGTAGTAGCTGGTCAAAAGCTTTCGGGATCTTTCGTTTGTCGCGTAGTGATGCAGCCACTGCATTCCAGAATGACGAGATGCTGACGTAATTCGCGGGGCACGGAGTCTCGATCATAGGCTCATGCCAACATGGGGGAGAAGGATCAACAACGACATGTAAACACGGATCAAGAAAGCTGAAATCAAGGACCAAGAGCTTTTCAAATGCTAACACTGGGGATCAGAAAAATGACTGTGATCCCTACTCAATTTGCTGAACACTATCCCCCATGCTGACACCATGCTGAAACGGCCAGTGCTCCCAGCCTATCACTTGGACGTCAGCAGCCATCACCAATGCATTCAAAACCTCACGAGGAGTCAGCAAGGCTGAATGCTTGTAGAATTTGTTACCGCGGCCAGACGGCGTTTGCAAAACTAGACTTCCTTTGAAAGCAGGACCTGCTGCATGCACTGGGCCCATCCTACATAGAGACATAGAATTTGCATTGCAAATTCTCTCGCTACTTCATCTAATTTGAGCACAGAGTAGCACATCAGGGGGTGCCATGGGCCACAGTGAGACACAGCCAACGGCTGCCAATTGTAGCACTTCACGCCAAGTCGCAATCAAGCTGGCAAAGGAGGTTTCGAACAGGGCGCTCTGCCTTGGTCGAGCCACAGCTGTGTCGTTGTTACTGACGACCGATGCGACTGATGTGAAACATGAAGCAGTCGGCCAGCAGAATTTGGACTTCTTGACACGTGCCTTACAGACCAGGCAGGACGCACGAAGCCGCGATAGCGATGGAAGCAGTTGCCAGGAGCGTCCCGCCATCCATCTGTATGAGTGTGGATACCAAGATGGGTGAACCTAAGCGGAGTTCAGCTGCAGGATTGCTCATGGTTGTCAGCATGAGCATCATGAGAACTTCATGCTCACTCTCTTCTCTCTATCTTGACTCTTACTGCGCGGTTCATGCCCTTGCAAGGCTGCTCTGGGCAGTAGGTATGCAACTGCTGTCGCGGACGGTCTGCTCTGAAGGGCTATCTCCGAGATGGTTGCCAACTCCGCAGACTTGCAGCAGAACACGGCTGACACGTTCTGATAATGAGTGAAACATTCCCTGCAAACCTTGTCTCCTCCTCACCTGGGATCTGCAAATGAGAGGCTGCTGGTAGATTTCTACATGACACGTCATGACGCTTTACCACGTCCTCTGCCAGCAGGAGAACAAATGGGGCAAGTGTGCCTCGTCCGGGCAACTTCCATCATGCTCGTCTCGTCCCGTGGCTTGACATCACATTTGCTTCTGCGCGATCAAGCTCGACATGGAATCGCGAAGAAGGGGCGAGAGGATGCGCTTGCCGCTTGCAATTGCAAAAGACGGCTCGGTTTGGTGTGGCCATGAACCATGCTGAACTTGTAGCTGGGTGGTTGTGGGCCACACTCTCTGCGGACATGGTCCATGAGACTCATGCGCGTGAGCGCGAATCTGATTTTTGCACTGCCTAAATGCTGCCCAAGTGGCTGTGAGTTTGTCTGTTTCCTCTGTAACTTGGGCGATGCTCCACCACTTTTGATGCCGTCGCTGGCTTCGGCCTCAGAAAACAGGGGAACACTAGCACGTAAAACGGCGGAGAAGAGTTGTGAAACCGTAGTTGGGACACACCGCCGTGAAACAGGGCAACGCGTGGGAAACTGAGTGTGCTCTGGAGAGTAAGCTCACCCATCTGAGGTTCATGCTTTATCTTCTTTGCTAGAATCTCCAAGCCCAATCGAGTTTGTGCCTCAATGCGGCTGTCAACGGATCCGCATTTTGTGAGAATCTTCTGCTGACCTGCAAACGCCAGAAATTTAGGTTCGCTTACCTGTATGGCCGTCGTCGTGGCTGGAAGGCCCTTGGCTGGAAAACAAGTCGCAAGAAGCTGATTGCATGCTCTAGCCAAGTCTTGGCCAAATCCAATCCTCTGGAATGTGGTATGTGCCGCTTAGTGGCCTGCACCATCCAGCCGCTTTTGCAGCTCGGTGATTTTGCTACTCAAATTGTTGACCTTCATTGCATGGCATGATGCAATCAGGACCGGGGTTTATCCATCTTCACCTGCACAGAAGGCACACAAGTTACTTAATAATAACCAACACCTAAGGTTTGGAATCGCCATTGCACGGCGAGTAAGTAGGTGACTTGGAGCTCATGCTCTTCGCGTAGCCGATCCTGATTGCCCGCTGGTCACGTGCAAGCCCCATGCATGAAATGAGGTGGTGCAAGGGGCATTCAAAGCGCAAGCCAAGTTTCGAGAAGAGACACAAAGATCCTGGGTTGCAGCATCAAAGGATTTGGGCGACAAACAGGTGCCAAACGAAGATCTCATTCATGTAGACTGCGCAGTGCCTTGCCTTAAAACTTGATAAGTCTACTGCGCATATTGCATTCAGGCAGCTCATCCTCCTCTGTTTGAAAATTTTTGCCCTGATCAGCAGCCGAAAGTATTGTTGTTGCTCTGTTAGGTTGGCTAAGCTTTTCGGTGCAACTGTTGCTGGGCGCCTCAAACATGGTATTGCCTGCATCCTCTGAACTGTACAACAGGAGCTTGACATGTCACAGCAGCGCATACAATTGAAACTTAAGCAAAGGGGGCTGGGGGCAGGGAGTTGAGAGCAGCATGGCAATATATGGCAAAAACAGGCTGGATTACAAGTGAAATATCCCCAGCAAGCCCTGCGCAAAACACTCTGTTGGCAGCATGTTGGCCAGGGCCTGCAATGCCCAAGCAGGTCGATGCATGCATCCTTAGATTTTGGGAAACCGTAAACATCGAATTAAATTGTTAAACCCCAGGAGCAAGAGGCGCCTCTCACGATCCAGTGGCTACGTGCGATTGCTGCACTCAGGCTTGCCGAGGATCCAAGAATGTCAGCGTGCCACGCCCCAATCACCAACACAGGCCACTTGAGCAAAACAGCGACAGCAACGAGTCGTGGCTTAAAATTTACAAGCCACAAGCGGTGCACAGGCAGGATCCGACCAAAGGCAGCTAAATTTGGGACAGCGCTCGTCGGAAGCTAGGCTTGCGTTCTTGCGGCTCCAAGGCACAGATCCAGAATGTCCACAACTTTCCAAGACAAGCCCAACAGCGCCACAGCCTGACGTTCAGAGTACTGCTGCCGTGCCATCCTCTGCTTGCAGCTCTGCTTGCCGTTTGCACAATCAGTCCTTCAAAATTTGCCCCCAAACGTGTGGCCGCATCTACTGCCCAAGAATCCGTTCGTTTCCAAATGCCAAACGACAGCGAAACCCATGGCCTTTCCGTCCAGGCCCTCTGCATCCAGACTCAGGTGTTGTACGCAAGAGCCGCGCGTGACTCCTGGACAAACTCAAGGGTCTTGCCAGCGCAGCTGCAGGGTTGGCGACTCATGTGGCTTTTCTATGTAATCTTGGAGCTGGTGGCAGAATATTCTGCACATTCATCAATATGGAGGCTGGTAGGAGTTGTCGCGGGTGGACGAGGAATCAGCGAATTGAAGTATTTGACGTATAACATACGTGTCCTTCATAGTGCACGCCCAGCCCCAAGAATTTGCGAGCAACGCAGCAGGCTGCAAAGCTGTCAGCCGAGTAAACATCGTAGAGAACCACCTGACACGCCATCCGCCGTGCAAACCACGGGTTGAATCAGAATGTGGCGAGGCCGAATGAATGAGGCTGCTCGGCTTTTTGAACATGTTTGCCCGGCATGATCTCTGGCATCATCCCGTGTGCTCTGCCGATGCCCTGTGAAAGCGGCAGCTTTGTTTCCTCTGTCGTTGCTTGTTGTGCTCGTGGCTCTTGTGGAGGTGCGGCTGTGGCTGGTGTCAGGAATGTATTTGGACTGGCTTCCGCAATCAGTATCTGCAAACACACAGTCGGAAACGGGGACAATTTGGTATGGCAATACTGTTCTGAACTGAAATGTGAAACCGTCCCGCAAACCGGCACAGCTGGTCGCATATTCAACAAACTTAGTTTGACGAAACACATGCGTAGGATAGCTCTTGGCTAAACCCACCCCTGAAGGGCAGGTTGCATAGCTCTCTCTCGCTCTTCTTTTTCTTCTCACTGCTCTACCCCTCCACGAGGGAGGGGCTGGGGCACAACCCCAAGCAGGATGGATGTCCAGGCACGAAACCGCAGCAGGCCCCAGCTACCGTCCGTACTTTGGCACTCTCAGACGTCAATCTAGTATAAGGCCCCAATCAGCTACCAATTAGTGCAGCATACTCCCTTGAGCACCATCATACGAACCTCGCCGCCACTGGCTCCGGTTGTGACACCTCCCCTCGTTCCCCGCCGTGGTGTGCAGGGGGTTGAGCAAACCTCGTCATGCGTCACCTCACCATTGTCCCAAACAAGGAAAAGCCATTCAGGCGCTACAAAAGAGAGCAAGCAACACCAGCTCCGACCCCACATAATCCCGTATATAGCGTAAAATCGAGCAACGCCCTCGGTTTGCCGCTTCAGGCCATGGCCCTGGCTTTGCCATGGGGCGGACGCCAGTGCCGCCGACCCTGCATCATTGGACCTCCGTTTCTCCAAGGGGCCCCCCCGGACCCCCTTCCAAGACCACTCCAAAATTCACATGGGTTTTGGAAGCGAATCCCAGCGGCACGGAGGGATTTTTGAGG